TTTTTCTGCCATAACTTAGCCTATAATGAAGCTAGAACCATGAAATGTTCAGAGATTTTGATGGTCATACAGAAGGACAGTGATAGGGAAGAGTGTGTTTCATTCCAGTGTCAATGAATGTTAGAAACTGGCCCTGAAAATTGCCCAATATTAGCAACTTTTCTTAGAATAATTAAGTCAAATTTTATAAGAGAAGTCAGATTTTCCATTTTCTCTAGTGTAGGTTCAAGAGTTTTCTTGCAATTGTAACTTAAAATTCTTAATGTATTACAACCGACACTTAAAACATACTGGTTTAAACTTCTGTACAAAGAAGCTTCTAGCAGTTCTTCAGCTGGTAACCACAGATTCTGTCAACAGAAACCAGGATGTCTTTGGGGTGTTCAGTATGTCTGGACTTCCTGTTGAACCACTTCTAGAAGGAGCTGTACCTGTAAGCTGCAGTAGTCTGGGAAAGGGGAAGAGAATCAGAGTTATTTTCCCTGGTCGATCCCAAACCCTCAGCTCTGGGGTTAAAATAATAGCTCAGGGTTAATATGCCAGAGAACTGGTTTACAAAGTGATTTCGTTCACAAGGCTAGGGTAAAAAGTCCACAGTAGGGTTTAATAAGCTGTGTGGCCATGTGAAATGTGCATTTTACTTTCCCTGCTGTGTAATATTTACCAACATTCTGCATTTGGAGAACACTTTCAGTAAGGTTTCTGATTTAGCTCCAGGTCTGTGTTTTGTCTTTAACTGGAAAAAGTAAAACACAAACGCAGGAATAACAGGGTCTTTGTTCTCCATTAATCTAGTGTGAAAAGCAAATTTGTTTTTTATTATAAACAAACTTACCCATTTGCTAAAAGCAAACAAATTTCACTCATTAAACTACATATAAATATGTCAGCTTTGATCCAAAATGAGCAGGCATATTAAATCATTCAATTTTAAGCTCCAGGAAAGTTTCAATTCTTTTACAAATATTGAAAATAGAGATGAATATTCTTCCACCAAAATGGAATTTCCCAAATTAAATGGCTGTTTAATCTAGTGTGAAAAGCAAATTTGTTGTTTGTTGAGACATTTTCTGTTCAAACCTTTCACCAAACACAAGTTGGCAGATCTCAGTATGACTTACTGAAGCTGCGTCTCCATCTGTGGGGCAGGCGGAAGCGGTGGACAGTCAAATAATAAACTGGGACTCCAGTCAGTGTGAGAGCACAGCTTATCCCTGTGTTCCAGGGGTCTGAATACAGAGACATACCCACAGTGAAGAAGCAAACCACTGTGAAGATGAATGTGATGGCCACGGGCACCTTTGGGTTATTAGACAAAGCAAATAACATTTGGTCAGGCTAGTGTGCAGATGGATAAGAAATGCTTTGCAGTTGAGTGCTATAACTACTGGCAGGCTAACTTTGAAAGGTCTTGGGTGGAGGGGGAAGTGGTACCGATGGATGAGCATCCCCAAGGTTGCCAAGGCCATGAAAAACCAGCTGCCAAAGGAGACAACATTGATGAGCTGGTAGATCTCTCCAACGATCACAATCAACACAGTCAAGGGGTACTGGAGACACAGACAATACAGCTGTAGTGACATACCACCATTCAGTCCAAGTCTGTTGTAACTGTTTTATACAGTGACATAGAGGATAGTAAAGCACAGTGATTAAAAAAGACATTGCTGGATTTCCTTATACTGTTGCTTTACAGTGTGAGGGATGTACTTTACCAGTAACAGCACAGCAGGCAAAGGTGTATGTCTGTGAATGTGAATCATGGAAAAGATTGGTGGCCAGTGGCCCTCCCTGGCTCCTACAAACAGCATCCTGCAATAGAGACAGTAGGACTTGAGAATGGACCTGCCAGAGCCCTTAGTTGAATTGAAGCATTTATGTCAAATACATTACCTGGATCCTGCAAAGAAGTCACTATTAAGTGTTCCAAGGCAGGATAGAGCCACGAGAACAGGAATCACAGCAGTCAGTCCCTGGAGAGTGCGGTTGGCAAACGTCTGTAGAGACACAGACCCTGAATCAGATCAATGCTCCAACATACTGTTCCTTATTTATGCCCTCTGATCTGGTCTAGAGATGGGATTGTGTACACAAATACACATGTACATGTTGGCTATACCATAATCATTAACTAGAGAGCAAATGTCAGATGCAAAATACCTATTTGGGTTTATGACTTCTTCTGTGACATAGTTCAGATTAAACCTGAGGTAAAAGGAAAATGTTCAGACACAAAGGCACAGACTTCTGATTGTTTGTGTATCTATCAGTATCAGGTCTCAGTGAATGTTAGCATGTATATTGATAACTTTTCTAACTAAATTTATTGTTGTCTATAACATTACAGTTGTCTTGCTTACCATCCACTGTAGGCATATAGACCATTATAAAAGGCCAGTGGCAACTTATCCAGTGTTAATGAATCAATTTCAAAGCCTTTCTGGAAATTCTCTGTCTTTCCTGAAAGACAAGCAGAAAGTAGTTTAACACAATCACCAGCCATTTGTCAGGGTCTCCGAGTTTAACTCCACCTGTATCTGCAGGAGTAGCAATTACATCATCCCACCTTTGCTCAAAGCAATGACACCAGGGA